AAGTATGCAGATGTTTATTACCACTATTTTCTGTAAGCATAAATATGACTAAAATTCACAATTACAATTAAAATTTTTGTAACGGCACTTTTGCTCGTTACAGCCTATAGGTAATTTCCTATACATTTTCTATCGGGCCGTATCCGGAAAAAACCATGGACAAATGCACATATTGAATCCGGTAGCGCCCGATAGATTATTTTGTATAGGTCTCTATGGGGCTATTTTAAGCAGGGATTGGTGCATTTTTCGTTTTTGCGTTCGAATAGTATATTCTGTAACAAGTTTGAAATACAGCATATTCCGCTCGAGTGAAGAGTTTGTCACACAAGCCGAAGGCAAGTTTGACGGTTTCACGAGAGAGGAATATGCAATTCCAAACGTGTTTCAAACTATACTTTTTCTACGTTTCCAAAAAATACCATAGAAAAATAATTTAATTCGAAGAAAGTGATGTTGGATCGGTCTAAAATTTGTTAGATATTAAAAACAGAGATGCCATTTGGTTATAAAAATATCCCAAAAATAAAAAAAATAAAGTTGCATTTTATTCAAGTTATGCTTTAAACATAAAATCTCTACACTCGTAGTATTAATTATATTGCCGACCATTGGTTTTTTGTACTGCTGCGAATTTACAAAAAATATACGGAAAGCCTAGACGCGTTCCTTGGGAAAGCCGTCACGTTATAGATAAGGTGGTAGGGCGGCCGCCGTTTAATGCGTTCGGGGAAAATGTGTGTTATGTTCAGTGTTCTGGGCACAGATAAAAAATATTAAACACGTATGGCTTAGTTTAGGCAGTACAGCGTTTGGCGCATGCAGGGTGCTTGCGCAAAACGCTTTACTACCCATACTATGACATGCTATGTTGTTAAATATATATATATATATATATATATATATATATATATAAAAATATATTTGAAGTCATTGTAAAATACGTTGGTTCATTGGAACCAGACGCTCCTATATCGGTACAGCTGCTGATAGTGCTGGAAGACGCTGACGCATTAGAACCTTGTTTTTTTTCTGCAATTTGTTTTTGTTATGCACCGATTCTTCTAGGTATCCTTCTGCTACCGTGGAGGACTCCAAAGTAGTCATGTTAGCCCCTGCATTGGCAAAAGAGTCGCCGAATACCTTCTCAGACAGTGACCGGTGTAGAGCGCTGATTCCTTCTTTTCAAAAACATTGCAATTCTTGAAGGTATTTTTGACAACGTATTTATTCCAACACACTGGCTGGTACACCTCCCATTTTTGTTAAAAACAAAAAAAGGCTAGATCTAGTATTCTTTGGTCTCAAAGACATGTATTTTTTACAGAAATTAATCGGGTTCACTGGAAATCCTTCTTCAAGTATGGTGAACTTCTCAATTTCTTGGTTTTAGTATCTGCCAAAACTACGTGAAAATATTTCCCTTTGTCTTGAGTATTTTCTATTTTCAAATTGACCAATTTATCGCATCTACAAGCACCGCTAATTAAAGCCACTTTCATCAACAGGTACTCGTCGTCGGGAGCTTCGTTCAAAAACTTCTTTATTCCAGGTAGTTTTAATGTCTTAGACTTCTTTGGTTTGTATCCCTGTGATTTGCTTTTCAAAAAGCTCGTTAGTTTGCCATATTTTGAAATTTCGATTTTTTTATAATGGTGAATACTCGAGCGAAGCATCGAGTATTTGGTCCATAGCGACAATAGAGCTAACTTTTTTTGCAAATATAAAAAATAAGCAAATAGAACATTTTCATCGATACCTTTTGTCTTCCGTGAACTCATACAAGACTAAGTCTTAAACTCCTTGTGCAACTCGGGACTTTTCTGGCAAAATCTGCATTGCTGCTTCTTCCGCTTCCGTAAGGATATCCTCAGAAACGTAATTTTCATCGGTTTTCTTAATTTTCTATACGTTTTTTTCTTCAAAAAAGTTTTCCTTTTCTGCAGGGAAAACTGACAAGTGTCAAAATGTATTTAAGGGCGTTTCTCTGTAAACTGGGCAACTCATTGTCTCAAGCTAATATTGTTTAGAAAAATAAAAATCATAAATATTTCGTAGATAACTTCAAAAGATAATAACCTAATCTACCTATGCTCGACGTTCAAAATCCAATAAAATAAACTTTAATGTATCAAAATCGTTTTTATAGTCCTTAAAAACCAGTCCCCTGACGTGTCACCAAAGCAAAATGGTCACTTCAGACTAAATTAATTAAAGACAGTAACTATTGGAATCAACCTAATTGTTTAATTATTCAACCAATATTGTTTGCTTGTTACTGTGACTTATTTATTTTTTATAATTATTATTTTGTAATTCTAAAAAAGTCATCTAAACTTTGTCTCCGGATTTTATAAACAGGCCTGTCGGCCTTGTGGTATAAATCTTTCTCGCGTGACTTATTTTCAACATAACACACTAGTACCATAAATAACTAGTCTCTAATTATATTATTGTTTCAAAAAGGGATTTACTCGTAATCAAAAGTTCTACAAAAATGCTTTATGTGCCATAGCTGTAATCTGCACCTGTAGGATGGTACGGGTCACTAAATCTGATTTTAGTGAAAAATTCTCATATTTTTGAAGATATGGATTCATCGAAAAAATGTAGTACAAACTTGTAGAAAATTTAATTTTCTATAAAAAGGTCTTATTAGTTGAATCGTTAAGATAAAAATTTTCAGGATTTTCCTACCAAACTTTATAAATTTATAAATTTTATAAAATATAAAATAAACTTGTTATAAAAGAGACCCAAAAATCATTTATACGAGTATTATTTTTTTAATCTTTATATTTATGTATTTGTGAGTTACTTTTTGAATTAATGAGCAAAATAAAATGTTTACAGTGTCATATTAATAGAATTAAAGATTTTACATAAAAAATAATATAAATATGGCATATGAAATTTTTTTGTAGTTTTATTGGAAAATAATTGAAATGTTTGATTAGTGTTATTTTTGATCGCTGATATCTTTGAAACGGTTGATCTGAAGAACTTTGACCTTCAGATGTTTTTTGTAGAGCATGAAATTTCCTATAAATCCTCTCGCTTGGGTGTTGCGAAAACAAAACATTCCAAAGTTATAAGAATTCAAAATAAAAAAAAATTCAAGTGTTATTGAAATCAAAAAAACACCAAATGAATTGAAGCAAACTTTAATAAATAAAGTTTTTGTTTTTTAATGTACTATTAATTTCTCAACACCATTGAAAAAATATTGTCCTTATTTAAACACAATAATATACAATATAAAATATATATGTAGTTTTACCTGTAGCACCGTATAAACATAACCAATATAAACAATATAATGTACGAATGGATAATATTTGTACAACATTTGGACCAGTATATCGATGTTCATTTAGATGTTTTTCGGACACCCAGTTTTGGTCCATTTATTTAGGACATAGGACTTTGGGACGTCAATTGAATTTTCTGGGGCAGTCGTTCGATTGCCTTTTGGCGTCCGACATTTTTGTGCTGGATGGGTTGCGTGTGAAAGATCGGTTTCGACATTAAAATTTAGTGACGTAAATTTGGAAGCTTTTATGCTAATGGCTGTGAAGAGAAAAGTGCTAAATTGTTTAGATAGTAACTTATTTATTTATAAACTAGCTGAAAACAGTTCTTTGTTTTGAATAGAGAGAGTTATCACGGGATGTTTTATCATAGTATGTAATATTGTAAGTTAAATAATATTTCTACTACATAGGTAAATGTGGTTTTATTTTATGTTGTGATGTTTTTTACAACATATATAAAATTGGCTTGGTCTGGACTGCTCTAGTATCTAGTCAAGGCCTGCATTGGTTCTGCCAGCAAGCCCCTGGCCGTACCCTTTCAGGTTCCCGTTCCCGTTACCGGACTGTTACCGGCCTTTGGTCTCAATTTCAGGAAATTTTTAAATTGTATGTTTCAATATTCTGACTATGTTATGTACAATAAACATAGGTGTTGTAAATTATCAGTTTTAACACGATACCTATTGAAATCTGCAAATTACTTGTTAGACTAGATTATTTAAGGCCTCTCATTAAGTTTATGAAAGAAATTTTTAAATCTTAAATCAAATATAATTTTTATAATAATAAATATTGTTTTGTTATATTAATAAAGATTTGACACGTGTTTTCCTTTAAAATAATAAGATTAATGGGAAAAATAATTAAGTGTGGATTTTTTAAACAAACGTTTTAAAATTTTCTTCATTCTTAATATGTTATATTTTTAATAAGCATTAATAAATAATATTTAAAATAATATAATTATTAGTGTAGAAAAAAGGGATCATAATGCTGGGAAAGTAGAGACGTTTACCAAGCTTTTTTTAATTCTTTTAATATTTCCATCTCCTTTTAAAAATGTACGCCTCGTATTTTTCCTAGCTATCCTTTATTGACATTTTTAAATCTCTTCCCATAAAAATCGAAAAATATATTTAAAAGTGAATTATCTTTGAGTTTTGTCGCATAATTAAGATTCAATATAAAAAGCACGAAAAATATGGTATAAGAAATATTGACCACTAAATCATTATCCATTTATTGACCATCGTATTGGTGCTAAAACTAAAATTAAATTCATCAAAAAAATAATTTTGTAATTTTCACACATAAAAGTATAATAAAAACTTTTTAGGTTGTAACACTTGATCTGGAATTCCCTTATATATAAAAACAATTAAATGGCTAATTATTTAAAGGGACTAAATCAATTTTTTGATATTTTGAGTTACATATTGATACTAACTAAAGCAAATCGTCTTGGCTACTTTAGTGAATAGCAATAGGTATGTAACTAAAAATGTTAAAAAATTTACTTAGACCCTTTTAATAATAAGCAATTCAATTAAAAATAAATGTTATGGATGTACTTCTAGATAAAAACTGTTTATCAGGTTTTAGGTCGATATTGCATAAGTGATTGTTTTGTAACTTTTAAGATGTTTACAGAAAACTAAATCTATATTTTTAAGTTAAGAAAGTTACCTAAAAACGTGGCTGATGGTGAATTATATGCCAGATACTCCTTATTGGACGCCCATGCTGGAAACTCAGATTGTTGAATTGCCGAACCTTCTTCTTCGTCCCGTTTCCATGGAAGCATTGTCTCTGTGGCTGTGGGAGTCGTGACGCGCGTCATCTCAACGCCTAAACAATGTTTTATTTTAATAAAGAAACAGCAATTCATTACCTAATTGGTCTTTATGCTTATTCAAACAACAGTGCGTCATTATTACGTTGAATGGATTTCGTTTTAGATAAAACTGGTGTGTAAAATACGTATCACGTGGCACAGTGGATGGAGCTAATTGTAATATTTCGGTAAACACTTTAATTAATATAAATCCTGATTTTTATGATAAAATAGTTCATTATTATTGTCCTAATTAAAACATATCCAGTGGCAAAAAACCGGTCACCAGAAATTGGCAACAATTTTTTTGTTTTTAAATGTTATGAACAAAAGTAAGAAGAAGTTTTTTACTGAAATGTGACATCCTGTGGGGTGTATAACTGAGTTTTAAAGCCAACTTCTCGCTCTCTAAAAATGAATTAGTCAAAAATGACTTATTTAATAGTTATTAGTGGCTGCTTTTTCACTTGTACCATAGTAAACCATGGAATACCATGGAATTAAAAAATGTAACAGACAATTCTTATGTAAAATTGTCCCCTGAATCCGAAAATATATAAAGTGGAGCAGTTTTTGAGATATATATTATTCAAAATTATGGTGTAAAAATATAAACTGAAGATATTTGAAAGTAAAGTTTTTTTAGAATGGATAGGTATAAATGGTTATTAAAAAATTATTATATAAAGGAATGGAAAATGGAAAAATAAATACAAATTAATATAGACTAAACGGTACCAATTCTCAAGAACTGTTTTGCTAGCTATAACATAGTGTAAAATAAATAAAGAAATAAAATAAAATAAAATACATATTAAATGGAAAATTGAATATATCTCAAAAACTGTTATACTTTTATTAACTTTTGACGACATTTTCAAATTCAGGGAACAATTTTACATAAGAATTGGCTGTTAAATTTTGGAATACCATGGTATCCCATGGTTAACCATGGTACAAGTGAAAAAGCAGCCACAAATAACTATTCAATTAGTCTTTTTTGACTAATTCATTTTTAGAGAGCGGATATCTGATTTTTTAACTATTGTTTAACTCTTCAGTAACGAAGCTATAGTATACTCTATACATTATGATCAGATTTTAATTTAAGCATATACAGGGTGCAAAATTAAGTTTTTCTCCGGAAATTTGTGACACCCTGTGGGATGTATCAGCAATAACCGCGGATGTTAATTTAAATTTTACTGTAGCCCTTTTCTGAACATTTAGTTTTTAATTTGCGTTATTATGGCACGGCGCGCCGTTTCACTTTTTAATCGGATAAGAAATATTAAGTTAAATATTAATACTTTAAAAAATAAATTTGCCCTGGAAAATAAAATTTTAAAATAATACATACTTAACACGTTAACTGCCGCGAGTTTTTTTCAAGTGGGGTCAGCTGGGCCACAATGTTTTTTATCATTTAATTCCTAATAAAAATATGCCATCGGTGTTATAATACAATAGCACATTTTTTTATTATTATTTTTCCCTTCTACCCCCGTGCGACTATATCATACACGCGGCGCGCCGCGACGTAGGATTGCAAAAATGTACATTTGCGCCACGTGTATAAATTGGAATACATACACATTTTATAAAAATATTGACAAATATTGTCTGTCAAATCATTAATAATGGATTAAATTCTTTTTTCCATTTTCATCATCGACTTAAAAAATAATTGATTTTTGGCTCATTTTTTGACAATATATATTTTTAAATGAAGGGTTTGCCATCTTAAAATTTGTTAATACAAATTTTAGCTAAGTGAATACCAGTGTACATCCACGCCACGCAGGGCCGAATTTAGCATGGGGCCAGCGGGGCCACGGCCCCAGGGCCTCCACCATTTAGGGGCCCCCACCAATGCAATATGTAGCTTTTGAATGAAACAAATATGAAAAAAATTGGCGAAAAAACAAAAAATTCGGTCAGTTTTACGCGAATCCTGTAATTTTCAATAAATTTTTCGTAGATCTAACTCTAATTTTTCGTGGATTTTTTATCGCTTATCCGCTTGCAAATCAGAATGTAAATTATCACACTCAAAGTTTTGGCGCGCGAAGACGTTTTTATATAGTCTATTTTTAAGCAGTTGCTTCTTTAGTGCTTGTCGTAACGTTTTTGTAAATAGAGGCAAACAGTCAATTACTTATAACCTAATATTAAAGTGTTGTGTAATATTTTCCGGTGTTTCCGAAATACTGTTTCGTGCTTTTCTTTGGACAAAAGATTGTTTTATTGTTTGATTTTGTATGAAGTACAGACAATTAATACGACTTTTGATGCACTTTTTTCAGTTTGGGGTAAGTATTAAAAATACAAAAACAAATAGATCAATTTATATTTTACTATAAGGTTATGTTCGTATTATTCAAAATATATAAACACTTTTAATCACAATTCTATTCTACTATACGTTTTTATAGTTTTGCATACGAATTTATAATTTCTCAGACTTCGGTAAAATGTATATAAGGTTATGTTCGTATTATTTAAAATATACAGGGTGATTCAGGCTTGTGGTGACAAAAGGGGGAATTCCTCTCATCGAAATATGAAAAAAAGTTCCTATAAACACGTGTCCGAAAATGCTTCATTATCGAGATACAGGGTGTTTCGTTTAAAAATTTTTTTTATTAAAATTTATATGGTTTATTAAATAATAAATAATTCAAAGATAATAAAAAATTACCTAAAGTTTCTCCAGCTTAAAAATTAACCATGAGTTTTAGTGTCAAAATTTTTAAAAATATTGAGGCCCCCCACCAAATGTCGGCCCCAGGGCCTCAAAACACTTAATCCGGCCCTGACGCCACGACAACCATTGTCAAACGGTTTTTTTCAGGTAATCATTTATTGTTGAAATTTTTTTATCTCTTATAAAATTTTAATAAAATGATTTGTTTTAGAGATAATTTGTATAGTATGGGTCAGTCCATATCAAATCAACCAAAGGTTCTTCCCCCACCATCTCCGATTTTGATAATTTTTGGTAAATTTGTTTACCTCACTAAAAAACTCAAAAATCCCATATATGAATTTTTTTCAATAGGTGGTTCAAAAAATACTTACAAAAATAGCGATATCTCGTAAACTATTAAAAGTAGAAAGGTGAGTGATGGCTTATTTTAAAGGCCTATCACTCACCTTTCTATTTTTAATAGTTTACGAGATATTAGAGACCTTTTTTATGATATATCACATGACCTTAATTTTTTCAAAAAAAAAAAATAAATTTCAAAAATTTGATATGGATTGACCCATACTTTACAAATTATCTCTAAAACAAATCATTTTATCAAAATTTTATAAGAGACAAAAAATTTTCAACAATAAATGATTACCTGAAAAAATACCGTTTAAAATTCATTGACACACGTACTAAAAAATAGGGGGAGTCAGTGAGTACTGGACCCCCCTATTTTGATAATTTGACAATTTTTCATCAATATAATTTCATACAATAGTATATGGTTAGTTTCTCTACATATACATATGTATATATGTAGAGAAACTATACTTCTATGTTGTAAAAAAATTTGTTCAAGCTAACGAGTCCTATTTTATATTTACAAATTTCAAAGGACTTAATAGTTCATTACGTATCAAGTTTGATAAATGCCATTTTATTCACAAATTTAAATTAGGCATTAGCTAGTGTTTAAATGAGTGTATAAAAAAGTTTATAAACGAGTTGCATATATGCAACTCGTTTATAAAATTTTTTTTAGTATACTATACTTTTTCTAGGACAAATCAGTTGCGTTATGATACTCGAAGTGAACAGACGCGTCAAGTGGTTAAAGATTCCTCTCCTAGCAGCGTATACGAGAGAAACGTAATAAAGTTCCAAAAACGAACCTAAGTATTCGGAAATATCGGTAATAAATAAATAAATAAATAAACATTCAAGTGCGGAAAGTGTGATAAGAGCAACAAGTGCAAAAAGAGCCGGTCCACCGATCCACCTGGTCAGCAGGGATAGTCACAACCAAAGCCTATCAATAACCTGCAGGGAGGTCCAGAAACATCGGACAGACCGTGATAGACCTAGCATCAGGATTATAGCCTAATATCCAAGCTAAGTAATTTTTCTAACTGCATGTCTTATTAACAAAACCATTTTATTCCAAAAAATCTAAAGTAAAACGTATCATATTCCGAAAAGGAATTTTAAGTTCCCCAGCTGACACCAGAAAATAAACATTCCTATTGAGACAGACAACAGTGTTGTCACAACACACCAATGTTGCCAGGTTTGGTGAAAATTCACCAGATTTGGTTATTTTTAATTCATTTGGTGATTAGGTGAAAACTTTTTTTAAAAGCCTTATTTGTGGTGATTTTTTCGACCCTGACAATTTAAATTAAAATTTTCCTTAAAACACGGTTAAAATCGGTAAAAATGTTAAATGTTAAAATTTTAATTGTTAAAATGCTACCAAATCTGGTTACAGACATCAATACCTTAGATAGTTTAGGGAACTAAAATATTGAAAACATAAATATTTTTGCCCAAAACTAAATTTTGGAAAGTGTGTAGTGCCAAAAAAGGTTACAAAGATCTTTTCTTTCCAGAGCTTTAAATAAAATAAATAAAACAAAAATGCAAAATAGATTAGACTCCAAAATTTTACATAAAGGTAGAAGATTAATTTTAAACTGCTGTTTTAACTTTCCGGTTACTAAAGATATTTTTAAATCGCACAAATTATAGTATGAGCATTGAGTAAGGAACTTCCTTACTCAATGGTATGAGGCAATAAATTTTGTTTTTTTATAAGAACAAGTCTGTAATAAAATGTGCTTTAAAGCAACAAAAAAATACAAAATCTGGTGATTATTTATTAAATCTGGCAACTTTTAAAGCAAGTATCTGGTGATTTTAAGTTTTTTGACCTGGCAACATTGCAACACACAAACATTACATTAAAAAAACAGAAAAGGCAGATAAGACTCCATCCCCCAAATAAACACTCGACTAATACCATAAATAAACGCCAAA